ACCGATTATTGTGAAGTTGTTCAGAATTTTTGAACCTGAGTATCCTAAAAGTTCTAAATTTTGAATATTTCTTTTTCATATGTAAAACTCTCCGAAAAACTACTTCTGTACTCTTCCTGATAATAATTAAACAATATTCACAGAAGTTTCTTCACTTGAACCGGTTAATTAAACCATTTTACAAAGCAATATACAATTTGTAGAGGTAAATAATAATAATTGATTTCAAGTCAACATGTAGATTTCAAGAAAAAGCAGTTGAAATGAACAAAAACGATTAATTCCAGCGACATTTCATGATTAATTCAATTAGAGTGATAGATTACCTTTTCGTTGGTCGTTTGATAGATAATTTGCTTATTTTGGTTCATTGATTACCTGGGATTTTCGCAAGTTTAATTTCCGTCCATTATTTTATGTATGAAATTGTAATTGTTCTCTAAAAGGTGGTATGACAAGATGTAATTGGTTTCCTTTAATTCATTTGTCAATCCTGAATTTCATACCGATAGCATCTCATGCAATCTCGCGGGCTCACTACTCTCGTAGCAATGCATAAGGCTATCTCTCACCTCATGTGTCCACTCAAAGCGTCCGTTGTCGCTGCCAGGGTTGTTGTCGGTAGGCAAATTATCGTTATGGGCCCCACCACCTTGCCTCTGATCCCTACGAGTCAGTCGATTGTGGGGGCCTCTTCCTTGATTATTGGGTACCAACTGTTGGGCCCATCGGGTGGTTAGCCCTGTGGACTCACGGCTGATGGACTCCAACTCGGTGACAGAGTTGTGGTCACCTCGTTCAGTGTCGAAAACTATACCGAGTTCATCAGCTGCTCGGGCAGCTGCCCTAAAGAGAAATGCTCCAATTCTTGCTCTCTCATGGTCACGGATCATGCAGAGAAGGGGATCTGAAGTCCTGACGACTTTACTGGCTGTATTCAGCACCATTCTGTCATGCAGACATTTCAAACTCAAAAGTCCACGTCCTCCCTGTTGTCGGGGGAAGTACAACCGAGGAACGGACGATTTGGGATGCAAACTCCTATAGAGATGCATCATTTTTCGGGTATTTACGTCAAGTTGATACAGCTCCTCCCGAGTTCACTTCACTATTCCAAACGAGTAGAGTAAGATTGGAACGGCAAGCATATTTGTTGCAGCAACTTTGTTCTTCCCCGACAGTTCCGATGACCAGATCTGTCGAAGTTTGTGCTGATACTTGCCGCGGAGAGAGTTTTTCACTGCTGTTACCTCTTGTGAGTGGCGTTGTTTCACCCCGAGGTGAGTATACGTCTCTTCGGCATCCAGATGGTGTGAGATGCTTCCATCTACGACCTGCACATCCTCTCCGTAGTCCCCGCATCGTCCTCTTCTGAGATGGACCATTGCACATTTGTCTAACCCGTGTACTCTTCCACCACCCTCAAGGACTGATGGAGATCCTTCTCTCCAGAGGCATAAAGTTCAAGATTATTATTATTGTTATACACAGTACATTCTAATCGAGTGTTTCTTATTAAAACGTCATTTTGAGTTTAAGTTCATTGTCAAACCAACTTGATTAAAGATTAAAGATTAAAGTACACTAGTTTGATCTAGTTGGAGTTGGGAGAGTATTCTGCAACATCACATGACTGACGCACTGCAAATAGCCATAATGCTCCCTAGGTGGCTCGAGGAGTTATTGAATGATTTAAAAATGGAAATTATAATTTCACAGTTAGGACCGTATCGATAATTTTGTGACTGCAAGATACGAACAGGTAGTGATGTAGCGTAGCATTACGTTTTTTCCACAGAAACGAAAAGAAATGCTCATCTTGAGAACAATGTTTTTTTATTTATTGAACGTTTGATTCATTTAATGGAGATATTATCGAAAATTCATGATGTGGATATTTATTATGAACCCGATAACTTGTTTATAGCTTGCTTGGAATTTTACAGTGACGTACAATCTATTAAGAAACGTTCCGAGTTTAAAAATTCATACTAACCGTTAATAGAATTCTATCCAAAAACTTCTGAGTCCCCAAGATAATGTTTATCGGGTATTCGTCTTGATCAGATATTATTCAGTATTTGTAGCATTTTATAATGAAATTATTCATTTTCACGGGATTAATATATAGGATGAGATTTGTTGAAACTGCATACACGTGAATGATAAATCAGGAAAGGAATCGTATTCCGTGTAAAACTTTTTAAAATGTAAATTGCAAAGCGCTTTCGGCTGTTACGCCATTATCAGTGCGATACCTGCAAGTAAGTAATATTCAATGATATGTATTTTAATTTTAGATTGAGCTTCAAATTCTTTTGATATTGTAGAATTACTTACTCGTCAAGTATATACGAAAGATCCTGCTGTCTTAAGGTACAACAACTTTTGTAAAAACCACTCTGAGTGGACATGAACATCACAATAAGCAAACATTTGCACAAAATGTGAATATTTTTGTTTGAATATTTTTATTTTTTTACAATTTTTTGAATTGACTTCTTCTAGAATTTGTGAATTACGATTGGGGCTGAAATTGTGTTTATTAAATTTGATATGTTGACCAAAAGCTGATTTGTCAGGTTTATTCACGTGTTCATTTATTCCAACTTTCAAAGGTCTACCAGTGCTTCCAATGTATGAGGCCTTACACTCATTGCAATTAAGTTTGTAGATTCCACTTCTTGACAACTTTTGAGTTAACTAAATGTTAACTCAATTTATTTGAACTTTTGAAGGAAATTTTAGCAACTTTTAATTTAATGCTAATTAGACTAGAGACTTTCTGGAAAATGTTTTCATTTAAAAAGGGTAATGAAATATATTTAGAAGGTTCTTCAATAATGGAATAAGTGAGATTTTGTTCTCTTTTATTCTTGACCTTATTTAGGAGTCTGAACCTGTTAGTTCTCTCCGATATTATGTAATTCAAAGGATTCAAATGGGTTTCTAACCCAAGTATGACTATGAAAGAAATTGAGAAAGAAAACATTTATAGTGAGAAAACCAGATCTAGAGAAAATAATGATTGATATATTCAAGACATCAGAATAAGTTTGAAATTTGAAGGCCAGAAAAAAGAAACGAAATGCATTAATGATTTTTGATGAACTGTTTGAGAAGGTATGACCTAAAACGAATTTCAGAGTTCCTTCGAACAAGATCGATTTATATAAATTTATATTGATAAATTGATCAATATATTGAAGGTCTTATCAATATGCTTCAACGTAGCTTCAATAATTGCTTCAAATGATAGGGTGAAGTGTAACTTTTCAGTGTTTTCAACTTGACCGACATAATTCTTCAATGCGATAACTAGATGATTTCACTATTGGTTGTACTTGGAGAGGTTATGCTTTGTTTCCTTCGAATGGATGAAGAGACTTTAGATAATTTATTTAAAATTTGACATGTCAAAGTGATATGGATTTTCACTTGTGGCGCCTACCGTTAGTCACATCTAGCTACAATTACCCGTATGAATGAAAAAGTGAAGCCATTTAGGTTTCGATGCATTGGATCCTTCTGTAATATTGTCCAATATTCAGAGTTAGCAGTAGAAGCGGGACGTATCAAAGTTAGTTTTTTTTAAAAAGAGATACATTCCATGTTCTGTGCCACATCGAACTTCAATTGCATGTATGAAGCCATTGAAAATGTTTTGTACAAAAGTTTAAGATATAATTGTATTGGATTTCTCTGAATTATTGTTCAACATATAGAGTAACCAGTAGAAGCGTGGCGTATCAAAGTTGATTTTTTTAATAAAAAGAGATACATTACATGTTCTGTGTCACATCGAACTCCAATTACATGTATGAATGAAAAAGTGAAGCCATTGAAAACGTTTTATATAAAAGTTTCAGATATCAATGCATTGATTGAATTTTTCTGAAATATTGTCCAATATACAGAGTAAGCAGTAGAAGCGTGGTGTATCAAAATTATTTTTTTCAAATAGGAAAAGATACATTGCTTTCCAAGTTCGGATTACCACTCTCCTGAATTTATTTGAAAAAATATGATATTATATGAGTATAAACCGAGCGGTTTAGAAGTTATACCAAAAATAATGTCAACAGAGTTCAATTATTTTTTATGGAGACGGTTGTATATTCCTTCAGAAAAAAATTTCGTAATGACAGTTCATTCAGAATGATCAGTTTTTAGAATTCGAAAAACAGTGAACAGAAAAATCTATGAAAATTACTGAAAATCTACATTGGGAAATAGTTATTGAAGAGGTAACCTCGTCAACTGGGTTTATTGGGGATTCATAATACCGAAAAAATTGTAGCCCATTTTTGTATGAATTGCAACGTGGAATCTGTAAAATAATATAACGTTTTCTTGAAAAAAATATAAATGAGAAAAAGCAAGTTATCAATCAATCAGGTTTCGACTTCTGAGAGTTGTCGTTCGTAGGGGTGCGATAGCTGGTTAACGGAAAAAGATTTTGAACAGTATCTCCGCCAAATCACTTCTCAATAATGACGAAATATAATGGTTCAAAATCTTCTTCTGGAAAAAATAAAGTTGTGTTCGGAATTTTTGTGTGTTTTTTTAAAGGTATAACTCTCTCGAACCCCTAGATATATACTCATACAACTTTAAGGAAGTGTTTCTCACGGAAAAATCAAATGTGAAACGAAACAAAGAATGTACCATTTTGATAAATCAAGAAAAGAGTTGAATATTACTGGAGGTTTATCCCAACACCAAACCGTTATTTTCAACACCTCGACACTTGTTTCGATTGAAAGTTATTGGTCAAATCATTATTTGATGATGAAAAAACAACAAAAATTATGGTCGTCGAGAAATGTATTGCATTTCTGATGATTGGAAAAATTGTTTATTTTGGATTTATTCCACGCTAGAGGCTCCAGTTTTACCTTTTATTTCAGTTACGATGAAGAAACCGAAAATTATTCTATTCTCGTTTTGTTCCGCCACTGGTGTTTAATCCACAACCAGTTCCACTGGAGGTGCTTGTGATCTAAACAAGTAATTGACCAAAACACAATCTTGTGTCCAGTGATGATATCTTGTATTTAAATTTATTATTTTAAAAAAGACGTCGCACTAGTCCTTCATGTCTTGAATGATGATTATAATCTCTAGTTGTAGTGTTTTAATCGTGTTAACCTTTATAGGTGAGTGATGTTATAGTCTCCACTGGTTTCTTTATTTTGATAGCACATACTCTACGTCCAAACGTGAACTTCAACGTTCTTATCAGTATAGTTCCTGTATACGTATTTTAAATTTTTTTAATCAACATAGTGGTGATTCCGTTTGAAGTTAATTCAGTGCAAATTTTACAGAATGCAGTGCTTCCCAAAATGTATTCGTTGTATCAGGAGAGGGTGGAAATGAGACTCGACTCAAAGTCCAAAATGATAGGTGAGTTTTCCACTGATCAACAAATTATCTTCTGCGATGTAGAAGTTCTTTTGAAAATGAATTTTACTAGTTCGGACTTCCATTGTCTAATATATAAAATAATTTGAAATCCCTGAGACACCTTAACAAATTTGATTGTAATTGATCAATATCAACTTATTTCCCTGTTGTCCAATTTTCTCAATTATCAGAAAACCCTTCAACCCCAACTTTTTTATTGCAACCGTGATAGAGACATAACACACATTGCAAAAAAATGTGCATCTCAATCAATAAATGCACATTTATTAATTCGCTAAACAGAAAAAAAATTGGAAAACCTACCTGTTTATTTTTTATCATAAGGGATTATACGATACTGCTGTATCGTACAGAATAGTACAGATTAATTTATTTCTAATTCAATATGTAACTGTATAAGTAATAAGGCTCAACTGGATATAATTTAGTTTTTATTACAGTTACGAATGTGTACTTCCACAATTCCCAGAAAACGGGATATGGACTATTTTAAATGGGAACGGTGGACCAGGAAACAAAGTAGAGGAAGATACAATACTGAAGTTCGTATGTAACCCAGGATTTATCTTAACTTCTGAATATCCGTATATGATATGTGATAGACATGGCTTCCCTAAGGATATACCGCAATGTCTGAGTAAGATATAAAATGTTAAGTTACTGTGAATCCCAGTAGGAAATTTCAAGGTTTCGAGTTCGTGCAATCCATTGAATATCATTATAATTTGGAAATCCCATCGTAATTGGTGGATACAATGTTTGCTACGTATTCTAAATATTTATATTAACCTCATAATCACATTTCGGTTGAACAAATTTAGAAAACAGAAGTCAGGTCATATATCCATATACAGGGTGTATTTTTATGTACATATAGAATGAGTTGGGATAAACTTTCAAGCATTATAATAATAATAATATAGGAATGTGGGCTTTCATCATCTCAAAAGAGGACGATGCGGGGACTACGGAGAGGATGTGCAGCTCGTAGATGCAAGCATCCTACACCATTTGGATGCCGGGAAGACGTATACTTACCTCGGGGTGGAACAGTGCCACTCACAAGAGGTAACGGCAGTGAAGAACTCTCTCCGCAGCAAGTATCAGCACAAACTTCGACAGATCTGGTCATCGGAACTGACGGGGAAGAACAAAGTTGCTGCAACAAATATGCATGCCGTTCCAATCTTACTCTACATGTTTAGAGTAGTGAAGTGGATTCAGAAGAAGCTGTATGAACTTGACGTAAATACCCGAAAAATGATTCATCTGTATAGGAGTTTGCATCCCAAACCGTCCGTTCCTCGGTTGTACTTCCCCCGACAACAGGGAGGCCGTGGACTTTTGAGTTTGAAGTGTCTACATGACAGAATGGTACTGGATATAGCCTGTAAAGTCGTCAGGAGTTCGGATCCCCTTCTTTCATGGTCCGTGAAACTGAGGGGTTGATCATGGCTTGCCAGGATGGTGTCTTAAACACCTTACTCTACCGCAATCGAGTGATGGGTATAGAAGTTCCTGACACAAGGTGTATGTCCTGCCGCGAGGCGCTCGAGACCTTAAGGTCTTGGTCTATATCCATCGATATAACGCGGCCCTAATAGTGCTATATTACCATCTACGGCACTCTTACGGTATTGACGAGACATCGGTGTTGTCTGTCCTACGCTCCGGGGGATATTCAATCCGTTGTGGGGAAAAAGAAGTGCCGAATTCATTGGAACTTTTCGTTCCCCACCAGGTTCCTACAAGCTAATGAGCCTGATGTAGTACGACGATATTTGTCGTGGAGTTTTCAGCTCCTGGCGAGACGAATATCGTCCGAAAAGAGGAGGAAAAACGAATAATGTATCGAGATTTTCTCTTCGAACTCCGCAGACTCTATCCAGACCACTCTGTCAAGATGGTTGTTCTGGTTATTGGAGTCATTGATGCAATGATGGCCTCTGTATCTTAAAATCATAGCGGCTTGTCGCACTGAGGTAGAAATCGTAGCCGGGCAGATGCAGAAGGCTGTCATTCTTGGCTCACTGCGCTTGCTCAGGGCACATGATTCTCGGACCCAATGATCACTTAACCCACGGTGTGGAGAGTGATCGTAGGTTGATAATGCTGGCGCGCCCTCCCGAATGTATCGGGGCTTCGGGGGATAGGGCCTGACCAGCGGCCCTGCTGTCTTTATTTTAACGCTACTCTTTCACTCAAACAGTATTAAGTACATTTAACAAATTGGTATATGGTTATAAAACAAGAAAACGAAGGTTATTGGAAGATGAGTTAACGTCTTACAGATTGTTGTGATCACTGTTTACCGAATATTATGGTCTCAATTTTCTTTAACGATAAAGGTAGTGATATTATATATTTATAATATATATTGAAAGTGGTAGCAGCCTAAAATAGGAATGATTTTTCATGAAAAACAGTGGAATGTTTGGGTATGGTGAGGGTGGTGACAGTCCTAAGGTATCTCTTTTGAACTTGACGTGAAGTGAGCTTTTTTGCCAAATCTTCTGGTATTTTATTAACAAATAATTCAAGAAGGAAATATAATTGATGCAACTCTCGTCTATTATGCATTTTCAACGTTCTCATATTATAAATATGAGGTGTCACATTCTCCCGATATTTGATATTACAGATGTACCGAGTACAAGCGTTTTGGACTCTCTGTATTCTATAATGGGCTAGATAATCAAAACATGGGACATAAACAATATCACAATAGTTAAGTATCGATAATATAAGTGATTCACATAACGTGATTTTAATTTCTTCATTAAGGTAATACCTATTGGAATATAATTTTCTCATTATCGCATAAGAACGTCCTATAAGATTACTCACATGTTTTATGACTTTGAAATTGTGATCAATTATCAAACCAAGTCATTTGATCGTATATATCACAATTGAATCATCGACTTGTAAATATGAATTGTCTATGGCCCTCTGAAGAATGATCCTTGGATATTTCAATTGATTATTTTGTATTTTCATTTAAATAACTTTTTTGTTTATAATACTCTCGATTGTATCACTAAAAAATTAGTTTACATCATCTGCATATGTTTGCATTTAAAATTATTTCATGACATTTGAAATATCTGAAGTGATCCCTGTGGAGCGCCATAAGCTACCCCAAGTTCACGCGATTTTTGTCTTTCACGATAACACGTTGAGTTCTATCATTCAGAAAGGATTCAATAAATAAACATGACCTATTATTGAAGCCAAAGTATTCAATTTTGCTACACATTTGAAGATGGTTCATTGTATCGAAGGCCTTACTGTAATTCATGGACAGTATTAGTTGAGTTTACGTTCATCAAGATTATTTATAATTTCATCTGTTATTCACAAAAGTGCAGTAGTAATACTATGACCTGAGCAGAGAGGACTGGATCCTCTGGGAGAAGGAAATATTAAAAGCAGATAGTTGTTGGTTCACAGATGGATCAAAAACACCTTCCGGTTCCGGTGCAGGTGTTTTTAGTCGCAGACCCAGGACAGAGATATTAACCTGCCTAGGAACCTGTGCGACTATATTTCAAGTGGGAATGTACGCCATTGAATTGTGTGCGGAGAGATTGGAAGAATCTAATCTCATACACAAGTCAATGAAAATATTCTCGGACAATCAAGCGGCATTGAAAGCTCTTGGCTCCTACCGAGCAACATCTAAATTGGTAGCAAATTGCGAAAAACGACTCTCGATAGGTAGACTTAACAGATCGTCTCTGGTCTGGATTCCTGGCCATACTGGCCTGAAAGGCAATGAGGCTGCTGATTCCCTTGCAAAGGAGGGTTCTGCAAGCAGCTTCATCGGACAAGAACCTGTCATTGGCATCGCTTTAGGCTTTGCCAAACAAAGATTGAACACCTGAATAGCAAGAAGATTTATAGACTTCCGACAGAATCTTTCAGGATTGGCTCACTCCAAGGCGTTCATTCACCCTTCGAAGCTTTATACCACACAGTTGTTGCACTACAGTAGGGATGAACTACGATGTCTAACAGACCGTCTTACAGATCACTGTCATTTGAATCATCATTGGCAGGGATTCGGACTGTCGGAAGACAGTGTGTGTGTCGCCTGTGTTTGGAAAATGATGAAACAGCAGAGCACATGCTTCCTCAAGCATAAACTGCAGAACACGTGTCGCGGTTTTTGTAATACCCTTCATAGCGAAAATCATACAATAAACTGTATTGACTAGTTTTTTAATATGAATTTTGATCAATTATCGGCCAGTTCGATTCAGAAATTGAATACTTCCGGCCATAACATGAGCTGCTGTGACGAAACTCATCAGAATTGGATAAAGAAACTGGGATTTAGATTCAAAATAATAAACATACGTCAAGCAGTTATGGAAAGCATATGAATGGTGGAATTGCGTAACATAAGCTGGGTATTTATTTTTTTTGTGTTTGAAAGTATTATCTGTAAATAATCGTAAAATTACCCGAAAAGCAATTCAAGTCTGCCTAGAGGAAATTAAAAATCACAAATTTGATGAATGAAGGTGAATTTGATATATATTTTATGGTGAGAGAATTAAAAAACATAATGGATCAAATTAAGTGTGAAGAAAGCTTAGGAAGGTTTAGGAAATTATAATTATCAACTTCCTTCAAAGAACCATTTCTGAGAAAACCACCTATTCATCAAAGGGCTCCACTTCAAAATTTCAGAATCAAATATGAAACTGAAAGTTAGATCTATTCAATTCCAAAAACGTTTATAATATATAAAAAAGTAAACTTGTTTTATTTTAAACTTAATTTAACGTATTATGCTTTCAACTTCATTAAAGAAATTATTTGACCACTGTTTCATTTTTCACAAGATGACGAGTAATCAAATTATGTTTTCCTAAATGAACTTTTAGAAGTATGAACTACCGTATTTTGCAGGATCGCCAACTTATGGGTATGAGCATCCCGAAAATGTAACGCGGTCGAAACGACAATACGACAGGTAAGAATTAGGCTAAAACATCTAACCTATTGTCAGTCGCCGTTGAACTAAAACTAAATGTGTTGACTCGTATTGATTATTATGTAAAAATAAAACTTTTAGTTCAAAATGAAATCTAAATCTAACCCACCAGTAACTATTAAAATACTTTTTCTGTACAAGCGTTTGCAAATCAAGTTAGCATCGATGATTTGAAATTGTTACGTACTTTTCTAATGAGGATGTTAATTGGTCTGCGAAACGAGCCCTAGTGCTTAATTTCTGGTATGTGGAAACATAATTTCATTATAATCATTGCCATAAATTGTGAATTGTCAATAATTTTTTATTTTTGTTTTATTTCTCTGTAAGATGACTATATGAAATTGAATCCTTCGAAACTTTTTCTATTTGCATAATTTTGTGTATACTATTTCAGCTATTGATGTGTTCTGTGTTATATTTTTCTTAATTTTTTTCACAGTTTCAAATGCACTCTTCCCCCATTTCCAGAAAACGGGAAATGGACTATAATAAATGGAGATGGACGACCAGGACAAGAAGTTGAAGTCGATACAGGATTGAAGTTTCAATGTCATCCCGGATATAAATTAACTCCCAAACACCCATATATAATCTGTGATACCAACTGGAGCCCCGAACTGATGCCAAAATGTCTGAGTAAGTGATATGGTATTAACGATAATCTACAGAATTATCTTGGATATTTCAAGGTCAAAGTCAAGGTCATTATACACTTAAAGTGTATAATGATCAAATTACAGAAAATGTGCATGAATTGAATGGAACTGGCCCATACTTTATGGAAATCCATATTAAAACTTACTATATAATAAGATTCATTTCGATTTTCACTATAAAAGGTTTACAAAACCGCGAAATATGTTTCACTATGCAACAGTTTTCTCAGGCAATATTTTTAAATGTTGCTTTCTCAGGCAATTTTTTGAAATATTCCTTGAGAAAGCTATTGTATAGCGAAACATGTGTCGTGGTTTTGTAAACCTTTTAGAGTGAAAATCAAAGTAAATCTTATTACTAAGTTCAAATGTGAATAATACTGATTCATTATTCTGAATTGAAAGAAAAAAACCTGAGGAATTAATGATTCTTGGATTTTTTGCATCATTTCTTTCGGATTTTCCACATGCAAAATACATAAAACAGTGGGGAGTTACTTTTCCATTTCTAATTTCACATCTAACAGATGGAAAGACGAGCAGACAGAAAACAAACAATCAATAGACATTGAACGGAAGTCATTTTTGTGGAGGAAAATCAGGTTTTTTATCACCCATTTTTTGTGTATTTTCACCTTCCACAATCTAGAAGATATGAAAATCATAATGAAGAACTTTATACAAGTGTAGAAAGGGCAAACTTTTCAGTTTACCCCGATAAGTTACTGCGTAAAATCAAAGTATTTTTCACAGAGAAAAATGTTCTACTTATCAGTAACTTGTGGTATTCAACAATTTTGCCTATCAAAAAAATAGCAAAGAAATAATACAATACTTATCTTAACGTTTCGGAGGTCAAAATCTGCCCCCGTCTTCATAAATGGACAAAAAATTCAATTATATATGAAACTCAACTTCTTCGACATATATCAAAGAAGTTTTTTTTTGACATGGCTAGATATTTTTAATTTTCATTTTTCGAATTATTACTTCAACTGAAATATTACTGTTCCACTACTATGTTTTAGTTGAGAACGGAAACCAAGTAGGTATCTGCCATAATTCATTTCATGTATAACTTTGAAAATGTCCTTATAAGACAAAACTGCAGTAACGTTAGTTTCAAATGAAGGTGGTAAAAAACATAGAAAGTTTCATTTCTCATTTTTCATGATAATTTCCTATCACATAGTAACAGCTACATCCATCAATTTATAATTCATTGTCTAATATTTTGTTGAAATATTCATTTGAAAATTCCATAATCCAATAATGAACAGTCATTTTTTCCCTTCTGATATTTACTTGACATTTACTTCTCTCAACTAACGATAAAGAATATCCCAACTTTTCCAGATTGATTGGTTAATATTTGTATGTAATTGAGACCCTGATAGTATAAGGTTAAGGTGCCTTTCACTATATTTGAGAGGACTACGGAATGGAACAGATCTAGTTTTATTATTTGAATATCATAATTAATGTCCTCAATTATTACCAGAGTAACCGTAATCAGAAACATTCAAATATTGGTTGTAACATATGTATACTATAATATTTTTAAGCGAAATAATCCAATCTGAACGGTATTTTTTCTAAGATCCGAAACTATAAAAAAATATACTCAGAATCGACGAATCAATCAACAAATTTATATTTTTACACTTCGACAGAGATAACTTTACCCCAAGTACTTAGAGTACTGTGTATGCGTATGTATTTCCAGAGGTTTATATTGAAAGCTCATTATTACAATTGTTTGTAGAAATAAATCTGACCTGCTTTACAATGCGGAATGTTCCTCCTGACGAAAATCAAGTAGTTTCCATAAAAGAGTTCTGAAACAACGCATTTTAAACTTATCATTTCAACCTTTTTCTTTAAAAAATTATTTAAATACTCAAAAAAGAGGAATGAAATAATGCATTCAACATTTAAAGGGATTCGTTTCTATTTCACCATTTGGCAACATCGGTTATAGCTAATAAAGGACAATGAATCTGTTACCTGTATGAGACAAACAAAGATGACATATTTCAGAGGCGTGCTGTTCTGTTCACTTATGTTCCGAGTTCCGAGACATTCTATGACATATGACATTTTGTGCACCTAACCATCTTCCTCTATATCAATAAATAACAAAACAACTGTTGTTTATGTGGCTTGTGGAGGTGGTATTGAACTATAATTTATATTTTGCCTTAATTGTTGATTTATAAAGATAATTTTCCTTTTTTAAAGTAGAATATCTTGGTACATATAAATTATTTCAACTTGATATAGGCGCTGTTGCCAATATGTGAATTAAAAACAAATCCCTTCAAAATTGAAACCCAACATTTGAAACATCAATTTGAATACTTTTCGAAGTGAATTTGAAAAACTCATGAATTATACTCAACTTTATTTTGTTCAAATTTACATTTGCTGTAATAACCCAAATTGAGGAACATTCCCCATTGTATTTGAAATACTATCGATCCAATTCATTGGTGACACCAAAGGCCAACCATCTATCTAACACAAATTTCACATGATTAACTGAAAACTGCTTCCACTTTATACTTTCACTGCAGAAATTCTGAAATAAGTGTTTCTGTTACTCTGAAAACTCAACAATAACAGCCTATATACTTATGATTTTTGTTATGGTGTGAATTACTATATAGTTGCGTAAATTTCGTACAGCTTATGTATCCGTTTCTTTATTTCGTTTGCTTTGCTAAATAATAAATATATACTTGATCGAGTTTAATTAATTTCTGTAACCAATCCTGTATGTAAATGACCATCGAATTATTTCAAGAGTGAACATAGTTTTATTTATATATCCTTCTAAACGAGTTTCTTCAAGGAGATGATGGAAGACATTGCAATACAGAAAAAAGCAATTATCTCTTTTAAGTTTTATTACCAATTCCTTGGGTATCATACGTATACTATTATAACAAACATGTTTTCAACTAAATGAATATAACAATTTGAGTAACAACTTGATGAGAGTGAATTTTTTTTATCAATCATATATGATTGAATTTTGTTTTTCAGTTGATATGTTTAGGAAGAAACCGCTCAGACACCTCGACGGGGAAACAGGGGTCAAGCGATACTTTGTCATTGATTTCACTTTTCAAAGTTTCCTATATTTGATATCGATAAAAAAATTAATGACAATTGAACATGAACCAAGTTAGTATTCATTAACTTCCGAGCCAAATGGGCTTCTTTGTCTAAAAAAGAATTACTCTATCAGATGAACGACATTATTTTCTTTGTTAACTAGTTTACTGATCCAATATTTTTTCTGAAGAAAGNGCTATCGGTATGAAATTTGGGATAGACAAATGTGCAATGGTTCATCTCAAAAGAGGACGATGCGGGGACTACGGAGAGGATGTGCAGCTCGTAGATGCAAGCATCCTACACAATTTGGATGCCGGGAAGACGTTACTTACCTCGGGGTGGAACAGTGCCACTCACAAGAGGTAACGGCAGTGAAGAACTCTCTCCGCAGCAAGTATCAGCACAAACTACGACAGATCTGGTCATCGGAACCGACGGGGAAGAACAAAGTTGCTGCAACAAATATGCATGCCGTTCCAATCTTACTCTACATGTTTGGAGTAGTGAAGTGGATTCGGAAGGAGCTGTATCAACTTGACGTAAATACCCGAATATAGGAGTTTGCATCCCAAATCGTCCGTTCCACGGTTGCACTTTCCCCGACAACAGGGAGGCCGTGGACTTTTGAGTTTGAAGTGTCTACATGACAGAATGGTACTGAATATAGCCTGTAAAGTCGTCAGGAGTTCGGATCCCCTTCTCTCATGGTCCGTGAAACTGAGGGGTTGATCATGGCTTGCCAGGATGGTGTCTCAAACACCTTACTCTACCGCAATCGAGTGATGGGTATAGAAGTTCCTGACACAAGGTGTAGGTCCTGCCGCGAGGCGCTCAAGACCCTAATACACTTGCTATCAGCATGTGCTGGCATATGCGATCTTGGTCTATATCCATCGATATAACGCGGCCCTAATAGTGCTATATTACCATCTACGGCACTCTTACGGTATTGACGAGACGCCGGTGTTGTCTGCCCTACGCTCCGGGGGATATTCAATCCGTTGTGGGGAACAAGAAGTGCCGAATTCATTGGAACTTTTCGTTCCCCACCAGGTTCATGCAAGCTAATGAGCCTGATGTAGTACGTACGTAGCAGTTTTCAGCTCCTGGCGAGACGAATATCGTCCGAAAAGAGGAGGAAAAACGGATAAGGTATCGAGATTTTCTCTTCGAACTCCGCAGACTCTATCCAGACCACTCTGTCGAAATGGTTGTTCTGATTATTGGAGTCATTGATGCAATGATGGCCTCTGTATCTTAAAATCATAGCGGCTTGTCGCACTGAGGCAGAAATCGTAGCCGGGCAGATGCAGAAGGCTGTCATTCTTGGCTATCTGCGCTTGCTCAGGGCACATGATTCTCGGACCCAATGATCACTTAACCCACGGTGTGGAGAGTGGTCGGATTGATAATGCTGGCGCGCCCTCCCGAATGTATGGGAGCTTCGGGGGATAAGGCCTGACCAGCGGCCCTGCTGTCGTTATTTTAACGCTACTCTTTCACTCAACCAATATTAAGTACATTTAACAATTTGGTATATGGTTATAACACAAGAAAACGAAGGTTATTGGAAGATGAGTTAACGTCTTACAGATTGTTGTGATCACTGTTTACCGAATATTATGGTCTCAATTTTCTTTAACGATAAAGATGGTTGTGATATTATATATTTATGATATATATTGAAAGTGGTAGCAGCCTGAAATAGGAATGATTTTTCATGAAAAACATTGGAATGTTTGGGTATGGTGAGGGTGGTGACAGTTCTGAGGTATCTCTTTTGAACTTGATGACGTGAAGTGAGCTTTTTCGCCAAATCTTCTGGTATTTTATTAACAAATAATTCAAGAAGGAAATATAATGGATGCAACTCTCGTTTATTATGCATTTTCAACGTTCTCATATTATAAGTATGAGGTGTCACATTCTCCTGATATTTGATATTACAGATGTACCGAGTACAAGCGTTTTGGACTCTCTGTATTCTATAATGGGCTAGATATTTATAATCAAAACATGGGACATAAACAATATCACAATAGTTAAGTATCGATAATATAAGTAATTCACATAACGTGATTTTAATTTCTTCATTAGGGTAATACCTATATTGGAATATAATTTTCTCATTATCGCATAAGAACGTCCTATAAGATCACTCACATGTTTTATGACTTTGAAATTGTGATCAATTATTAAACCCAGTCATTTGATCGTATCCCTATATATCACAATTGGATCATCAACTTGTAAATATGAATTGTCTATGGCCCTCTGACGAATGATCCTTGGATATTTCAATTGATTATTTTGTATTTTCATTTAAATAACTTTTTTGTTTATAATACTCTCGATTGTATCACTAAAAAATTAGTTTACATCATCTGCATATGTTTGCATTTAAAATTATTTCATGACATTTGAAATATCTGAAGTGATCCCTGTGGAGCGCCATAAGCTACCCCAAGTTCACGCGATTTTTGTCTTTCACGATAACACGTTGAGTTCTATCATTCAGAAAGGATTCAATAAATAAACATGACCTATTATTAAAGCAAAAGTATTCAATTTTGCTACACATTTGAAGATGGTTCATTGTATCGAAGGCCTTGTGGACTATTGCTTTGGTCTGAGGCTGACGGATCGTCTCCTCGAAAACATCAGGGAACTGTTCCAGTATCGGTAGGAGCTCATCTTTGCTCTCAGGGGAAAATTGTGTCTTCCAGCTCCAGCGGGATACCCTTCTTTGGAAAAACCCTGTGTGCTGGGTTTGTCTCGAAATAAATACACAGCCTTGGGGCTTGTCCGAAATGAATCGACCCTAAAACTGGGGTACAACGCGGGGGTACAACTGGCCACCACGATGGCACTAGGCCGGGCCAGAGGGTTCCCTACGACCAGACTGAGATCCCAGACTGAGATTCCTTTGCCTGCGAAACGCTCTATATTCATCCTTCCGAGGGGCACGCGCATAGGCTCCGCCCACCTATCAATCGGTCTTTGTCCTAACCTGATTCGTCGTCCTAACTGAACTATATAGTGGAGTTATAACAACTGCTCGAGAGCTATCATCATTCAAACTGCTTGTTCTAGCCTTCAAATATCTACCGAATTTAGTTGAGTGTCTAGCTGTGTTAATCTTCTCCGAATAAAAACTGTGAGAATATAAGTAATGTTGATTATTATGGTTTATTCTAATATTTTGTGAATTTCTAGTGTGCAGTATGTCTTCCTTCATTGACGCTGGTAAATCCGTGGAGGGTAAGGTCAACATCCTGCAGGACGTGGTGGTGCAGCAATCGGAGCTACCGCAGGATATCGTGGACTTAACGGAATTCCAACTTGGACCTCCACTTAGCCTCCTTTCTGTAGAAGTTGTATTGGTAACGGCGGATCCAAAACCCGGATGCAGCTGGAAGGAGGATGTTCTTTCGACCACCCCTTCTTCTGAAACGAAGAGCACTGCCAAAGTTGCGAAGAAGGGGTCGAAGATTGTCGATAAGAGAGCGGCACCGAGCGGTTGTGATGATGACTTTGCTGCTCCCGAACCGGTTAAGAAGAGGAGGCCCGCCGCTAAGCCAAAACAGGTGATGGCAGAAGTATATGGAGATGTGGGACGAGTCTAACCCTCATCGACGGTCGCCAATGACCTCGACCCTCTGGCGGGCCCCTTCTACGTCAGATTCCGCCACTATCACGAACGCTAAGGCGACCAAGGCGAAAAAGCAGTCACCGACGGCTGCGCAGATGGTAACTGCTGAGTGCAACATCGAGCCAGCTATTACGGCATCTTCGGAGACCACGGTCGAGCCGTATCATCAACCACTTGCCGGCTCTATACCACCTCCGCCACCGATACCTGCGCCAAGTGTTCAGCAGGTGACTTCTGCCCAACCCTCTGGCAGCGAGGTGGAGTTACCATCATCGCAGAGGACCTTCAGCTTAGTAGAGGAGTAGAGGACGTGCTTGAGCTCGACAGGATATGCCCAGAAGAAAAAGGAAAGCTGGTGACGATCCGGGGCAGCGATGAAAAATTGGCGGAGATGGCAGCACGTAAACGACGATTTGAAGTTCGACAGGCGCAGCTAGTCGAACAGAAACGGCGTTTGTTGGCTGAACTGGCTGAGGTGGAAATCAGCATCAATGGGGTCGACGAGGAGTACCGTGTTGAGGCGGATTCAACTAATCGGTACCGCATGGAGGTCGACGAAATAGGCGAGCGTGTTGAGGCTCTCAGAGAGCGAATCAGAAAAAAAGTTGATGTCGTTGGAACATAACCTTCATCTATTTCCTTTCCCTAGATCCTTTTTTTCATGGAGTGCAAGTGGGTTGGTTGGTGTACACAGGTCACAGCGTGGTTGGGGCAGTGTCCTCTTCCCTCCCTTCTTTCCATTCCGGAAAAAATATCTCGTGAACACTTCATTCCACATCATCCCCACTCCTCCCCCACTCCTCCCCACTTCCTCTCAAAAGTATAAAAGTAGGAATTATCTGATGGAATATTCAGTTGATCACCCACCTTCAACATGGAAGCTGATTCAACTACCGAGCCATACAGCCTCCCTGAGCCTCAGTTACCATACTACATGTCCCTCCAAGAAGATTTCGACCACTGCATCTCACAGTTTTGGATTTGAATACTTGAATAATGATTATAGAATGCAGGTGCAGCATGTAACTGGTAGCGATGAAGCGAACCTTTCTGATGGGGAGTATTTGGATCCTAACGGATGGTGGGATCCTGATTATTTAGGCGATGACCCACTGCCCTGGGGAGACGATGACGATGAGTCCGAGGAAGTCGAAGATAGTCCTCCACCATCCCCAGTCCTCATCGAGGATATTCCTCCACCATCCCCTATCCTATTTGATGAGGTCCTCAATTTGAATGACGATATGTGATCCTTCCTCCCACCCTCAATCCTTTCCTTCCACGGAGTACACACTTTTTGATTGGTGTACACGAGGCACTGCGAGATTGGGGCAGTGTCTTCCTCCCTCTCCCTTATTAGTTTTCCATAATAATCACTCAGAGTTTCTCATAATAATCACTCAGAATTCCATGAAGATCGTCATTCTTGTTGCTTTTGAATTTCAAACACTGAATTGTTTTACATTTACACTTCACCCCCTGAAAATAATATAAATTAGTTTGTTGTTTTTTTTTCTAATTTAAAAATAAATTCTGATGAAAAAATCTGCTTCTGCTTTTTTCCAACTAATATGCTGACATATGGGACCGGCAAGTGGTTGATGATACGGCTCGGCCGTGGTCTCCGAAAATGCCGTAATGACTGGCTCGATGTTGCACTCAGCAGTTAACATCTGCGGAGCCGTCGGTGACTGCTTTTTCGCCTTGGTCGCCTTAGCGTTCGAGATAGTGGCGGTATCTGACGTGAAAAAGGCCCGCCAGAGGGTAGAAGTCATTGGCGGCCGTCGATAAGGGTTAGACTCGTCCCACATCTCCATATACTTCTGCAGCTCCGTCTGCTTTGGCCTCACCGACGACACCGCTTGTTTTGGCTTAGCGGCGGGCCTCCTCTTCTTAACCGGTTCGGGAGCAGCAAAGTCCTCATCACTACCGCTCGGAGCCGCTCTCTTACAGACAATCTTCGACCCCTTCTTCGCAACTTTGGCGGTGCTTCAATGGCAGTCGCGGAATTTGCTACGTGGATCATGATATTTGGGGCAGGGTGTAGTTGATATTCAATCTCAATTGTAAAAAATCCAATTTCATACAACTACTTTCGTCATAACTATTTTTCGTGTAAATTGAAAATAGACTAGTTATTCAATGGAAATGTATATTTTCAGATGTAAACCGGATTCATATTCTACTACTACGTGGAAATTTCTCAACTTCCATTCATATGAAACACCCGAGAAGAAGAGTTTCATGCCGTGAGACGATATCCTCTGGTGTACTACTACTACTACTGTTTGTATGGATAATGTAGCCCTGAAAAGGGCTGTTCTTTTCACCAGAAGGCTCACGGTTAGTATGTTACATGTTTGACACTATTACGTATTATGCATGCTGACACTCTTGTGAAATTTGTGAACGGTCTTTCACATGCCTCACACCAATACTGACCCATCTGCATCATAGAGACCCTATCATGGGTGTTTACATGTTGATACCAGCCGCCGTTATTGTTCCGTATCGAGTAGAATCGAAAACAGCTCCAACATAACTTCTGGATACCACCATCGATCGTTTTGAATCTTACGTGCGCATCTGTCACACAATACAGGTCCAGTCGATCTTCTAATGTGTCGGTGACGTTGAGCCATCGGACGCCGATCATTGAGGCACCATCATCTTCAGATGAATCAGTCACAATACCTTCATCACTCAGGTCATCCTCGATGATATCTTCTTCAACAATCTCCTCGTGCTTCAAAACATTAGCTTCTTCGTCGACTTCAATATCTGCCTCGTCTTCTATAATTTCAACTTCCTCTTCCACAATTCCCTCTATGTTGGAAGTCATTCCATCCCCATTCAATGGCTCATCATCCGTCCAATTATGCTCATCATCAAGTGATATCCTAGCTAATATAGTGGCGATTTTTTCGGAATTCATCTTGATGTGCTCTCACTTACTGAGTGAGGTTCAGGATCGGAACTCGACTTTTATATGATTCGGTTGTGATCGTGGTAGCGCCTCCACACTACTCCAACTTCTTGCTCTATACGATTAAAAATAGGGGGTATGCCAGCCGAGTCGAATTCACGAGAGGAGCAGATCAGGAGATGAGATTTCCATGGTAATCGTATATCGACATACACCCAGATAGGCTCTGGAATTACCTACTGATTTTAACTCTATTTTCTCAATTTAATTCATTTAATCATATGTTGATTTATAAAATAAATAAATCCATTGCTACAATATTATGATTGTATGATTTTTGGTATTTCGAAACTATTTATTCAGCGAAGAATAATAGATTCCACAGTTTTAGAAAATTCATAATGAAATTCAAATTTATTAAATTCCACTTTATTTTTCATCAAGTACAATGATAATGCTATCTCACTAATGCATTTTCATTGATCCATGAGTTGTGATGTTCGGAGAATCCCAGCCAATTTACATATAGACGACGTCTTTTTCGTTTCAAAGCTCGCTCCACCAAATATGTATTGGGGTCATGGGTTTTATTCAATTCCGTGCCATAGAAGGAACCTTTAATTGGCTGTCCGTTCACATCTTCGAGCGCATAAGTTATAGGTTCTGTTCTATTTACTTTTATAACTTTGTAACAGTTGTACAGTTTGCCGTATAACCTTTTTCGAATACGCTTTTATATTTACTGATTCGCACCATATCTCCAATTTTAAATTTTATTCTTTCACGTTTTCCATGCTGCTTCTTTGATCTTGCATAAACTGTCAATTTTGTGAATTGTTTTACGTCTGCAGGCTTCATATCCATGGTACGATGAACTTTGTTGTTGTATCGACTGGTAATTTTAGGAAGAATATTCAACTAACTGTAATGGCCTTGAGGTGAAAATTGTCTATAAAGCCAACTTTTCAACGTCCTGATGATTCTTTCCGCATTTGCAGCCTTTTTTGTGCTGAATGTTGAGTAATGATTGATACGGTGCTCTCTCATTAGCGATGAAAATTTTGAATTATAAAACCCGGTACCGTGATCAGATTGTAAGTTCCTTGGGACATGCTTCGCATTTTCCAACACACTTGCCATAGCTGCAGTAACTGAATCAGCAGTTTTATTTCTCAATGGTCTTGACCATACATACTTCGAATAACAGTTGATGTACCTATGACCGTCATTTTCTTTAGCATATGGTTGCATTTCCATCAGATCCATCTGCCACAAGTCATGAAATCCCTTCATAATTGTCTTTCGACGGGGAAATTTTGACGCGTCGGCTTATGTATTTCCATCACAATCTGCCATTTTGCATCACTCATATTACTGTTATATGGCTTCTCCGAAGTGATGAAGTTGAGGATTCAGTTCGCTACTGTTCACGTGCAGGTTCAACTACTGACTGTTCAACTTCAATAACTCGCTCAGTAAAAGTATCAACCAACTCGGTTATAACACCAATTTGCTTCTCCACATTACTCAATCGATCAGCTAATGCTGAAGTGATGAGTGCATTTTTGTCAATGAAGATTCGCAGTTCGTTATTTTCTGAATCAATGTTTTTTTGACGTATCGCAGCGATGGTGCAATGAATTCTTGGAAATAGTTCAGGGTTGATTCCTTGGCTTCTTTATTGTGATCGTCAATATATTCTTCAGTGACAGAGTCTTCACCGTCTACAGGTTCACCAATATTCTGCAACCGCTTACTCTGAATGTCATAATCACCATGTGGTGTGATAATGAATCCAACACCCGATATTCCAACAAGTAGTTTACTAACACCACCCCTTCTACGCCCAAATTTATCAATTGTGGTATGCATAGTTAGATCGTCTGTGAGTAACTGAGTCAGCTTCATACATAGTGTTCATTATATTACGGTCAATAGACTAATCCTTCTTCACGTAATTCCTCAATTATGGCCAATATTTCATTATCGTGCCCGGTATGTCCAGCCATTCGTGAACTCCAAAGTAATTGGAGGCGATCAACCAGTTC